TGACGACGGTGCAAGGAGATCCACTGTACGTTCGGACATGCCCTTCTTGGCCTATTCCCTAGAGATTAGGCCTAGTCATTAGACCCTTTTGGGCTGTCTGCATAGGCCTACGACTACGTCTCTGCTGGGTAAACTACCGGGGTTAGGTAGGTATACGTAGGTCTGCACCCTACTTTTCTTCAACACTTCTATGTAGTAGATCTCTAGGAGTTCTTGACTTGTTCAATTTTAAATGTTGACGGCGCTAGGCGTATTTAATTAGGGCCTATCTAATAGGTGTCACAGCTCCATTGCCCGCGTTGGAAGAAAATAATTTTTTCCCGATTTGTAACCCTTTTTCAACTTAACGTCATACGGTGGCTATTTAATATTTTGTAATAATTTTAAAATATTTTGGAAGCCGATATCCTGTTCTTTTGCTTAGTATAATTTTTATATATGTGTTCATTTTATTAATTTCATAAACGTAAGTTGAAAAACGTCAATTTCCCGTGTTTTGACGTTACGCTGAAATTTTTTGTCACGTTTTGAAATGAGGGTACACCACTTCAAGTGCTCGGCGGCGGTTCCTATTTTTAATATTTTTTTTCATTTTAATATCATTAGAAAAGTTAATTGAACGATCTTTCGATCGGTCGGGGGTGCCTTATTTGCAAGTTGAACGCTTCAATTCAGGTAATCTTTTTGTGAGGCGATTTGCCAATATAGCACCTCGACCGATCGAAAGTTCGTTTTATTGTCGTTTCAATGCTATTAAAATCAACAAAATCGAAGCATTTTAAGAACCGCCGCCGAGCATTTGAAAATTGTATACAATGGGCAATTTTGTCAAAAATAAATCGCGTAGTTTTGCCTTGTTATGACGTCATTTCTACACGAGAAGAAAAATCCAATCCAAGTTCCTGTGACTCATATTCGCCGTAAATTTAGCTCGAAATGCAACTCGATGTTTATTTATGAAGAAATCGTTATGTTATATGAATAAATGACTTGCCTGAAAATAAATAACGATAGAAATTCCATTTTATTCACGCCTTTCGCAGGGCCGACTGTGTTTACATCACGTGACTCATCTTCGCGCGCTTTTATAACCATGTGACAGGACATAAATAAATCGAAGGGAAATTTCATCCCAGAGACCACACGTCTCTACTTTTAACACCAAACATTTTTCAAGAATTGAAAATTCCGTAACATTGACGAATGTTTCAATGCACTGAAATCATAAATTCGCTGTTCACTGAATTATTCAAGCCCTATTTTAAACCATTTCTGTGCACACGAATGGAAATGAAACCAGAAAATATCCACACGGGTCTCGGTGCCGACCGCAGCCGTGAGGAAGATAGTATAGTACTACTGATAATTAGTACATCGATTTCTACCCACTTAAAAAGGGAACTTTACCCAAATAAAGTTGGAATAACAAAAGAATTAACACTAGCTGAAATAGTTTGAAAAATGGCTCAATTTCTGGATTTGCCGTTGGCGATTTACAACATTTCGTTTGAGATGATGGAACCGACATAGATTATGAATTTCAATTAGGTCAGTCATGTCGACAATATTAGTAACTAATAATTACTATCACTCAGTATCGATACGGATACCCAATTTTCCCCAAAACGTTTTATTAAATAATTTAGCATTATATAACAGTTGTCATACTAATTATTATAATTTTAATTCTTTGTTTTTTTAGGAAACTATATTTAACACCTCGAGTATCACATTTGTTGGCCAGTTAAACAAGTTGAAAGAACCGACAAACGTAAGGCCTTTAGGCCTTGATTTGATATTTATTTACAATACATTGATTAAAATATACAAAAAAGGAAGTTGCTCAATAGGCTACATACCGATTTGAAGGAATAATAGAAATATTCAAAAGTGAAGTAAAAACAACAATTCTTTGTAGTTTGAGTTAAATTGTAGCTTTTAGGCCTAGGCCTTTATAATATAAACATGACTAGGCCTACCATGGCCTATCAGTAACTGAGTAACCTACTTTTACTCTTTAGTCTTTAGAGAATAATTTTTTATTGGTCAATGTTATCTTCTGAGTAGAAAATAATATGTAAAAGCAGAATTCTAACAATAATGTAAGAAACGAATGCTGAGAACAATGATAATGAAACAACAGTTGTCCGTTTTTTAAAATTATGTGGTTGCTATGACAACCATCCAAAATCCTTAATAATTCACTAAAATTATACAATTCTTAATATTTTATATTACATGCCATGGGCTATAAATATATGCTAAAATGCTTTCTGCTACTATACTTAAAATGTGGTGATCAATTGGTTTGTCAGGGTAAACACCATTGAAAATGGAATAACATTGCCTTTTTTGGGGTGTCTGTTTTCGTTTTGATTGCTATAACAACCAAATGTTAAGTAATATACAAGAGTAAAGATAAGTAATTTTAAAAATTCACAAACATAAATACATGTAAACAAAATTTCTCTTCAAGATCTTAATTCCTTCATATTTTATTTATAATTATGTCTTAATAATGTCCAAAATAGACAATTAGCTGCTGCAGAATGTTCTTCAAGTTAAAAAAGGGAACTCCTTTCCAGCTCTTGGGAGAAGACATATAAATATTCTGATTTTATTTATTTTTTAAAATCTTATCCAATAGCTTCTGTTTTTAAAATAATACAGTTATCAATATTGATGTCATGATTATTGGAAAATAATGGTTTTCGGAAAAAAAATAAATGTGGTTGCTATGGTAACCACTCAAACTCCTTAATATTTTGCTCAAACTTATACAATCCATATCATTTGATAATACATGGGTTTCAAATATTTTAAAATGCTTATTTTTAAAAGTGGTGATCACCTTTTGGGTTATGGTAAATAGCGTTGAAAATGGTCAAAAATTGCATTTGTTCCATTTTGGTTGCTATGACAACCAAAATCGATAATATATGGCAGATTGGAAATATGTAATTTTAAAAAATCACAAACTTTTTGACATATTCCCATAATTTCACTTCCCTATCTCCATTCCTTCTTATTTTACTAAGGTCACCAAAACGCCCCAAAGAAGGCATATACTATCATATAGATATTTTTACTATTTTTTTTTCTGTTAATCTTACTTGATAGATACTGATTTTAAAATGCATAACAACCAGGTTCAATATTTCAGATATAACATGCACAAGACCATTTTTGATGAAAAAATTGACCAAAATCGCTCTGAGAAAATGGAATTTTTGAGAAAACTTAGGTATTTTCCAGTTCATGTGGAATTCGGTGTAATTATTACAAAAATGTGAAAATTGAAACATAATTAGCCATGAAGTGGTATTTCATGAATTTACATCTAGCCTACATTTTTGATAGTTTTGATATGAAATGAAATATGGCATCACAAAAAACACCAAAAATGACTTTTTCAAAGTGTTGAAAAACCTTTCTTCCGCGAAAAGTCAAAAATCGCAACTTTGAACCTCAATAAAAAAAAAAATTTCATCCGATTTTTGAATCTGTAAAAAGTTTTGTGAGAAGAATGATGAGATCTACATGAAAAGCTAATAAAAACATATGTATAATCATAATCTCAAAATCACCTTTTCCACCTATATCTAACTTCTAGGCCTAGTTCTACTCATCTAGTTCTAGCCTCGACTGTACTCTGGAGTCTGTGACTGTAGGCCTAGGACAAAATCTAGTTATTCTAGATCTAAACTGTGTCACTGACCAGTAGTTTTCTCTATTCTTTCACCGATTTATATTCGACAAATAAATACTATTATAAATATAATTTATGTGATGAGAAAAGTTTATATTATCTTGACTTTGCTCTGTAAGACGCTGACGTTAATATGCACTCGGCGAAAATTCTGATAGCAGACGACATGAAAATGGCGCAAATTTACCCTCGACCTATCCAGTAATCAATATCTAATAGAATTACATAACAACAGAAAGGCATGATGATCTAGATTACACGAAATCGAGAAAATATAGTTAAAGGGAAATAACTCCAATTATTGTACGGAATCAGCCAACCAAAATCGAGGAAATATAGTTAAAGGGAATTAACTCCAAATATTGTAAGGAATCAGACCACCAAAGATTTTAACTTTGATAGTGATTATTCCGGTCTCCGTAGCTACCTCTTATTATTTTAATTTTTTTGCGGTTGCGTTGAACGATATCTACCAAAAACGGAGCAATATCTGACAATAGCTTGCTTTAGTGTATGCATGAGTTGGACCATGAATTTTTAAAGTACCGGTAGGCCTACATAAATTTAAATTGCCATTATAGTTATATTGTAATGTAAACCTCTTCGATTTTTGTATACATGGTAATTTTACGTAATAAATCGTAAATAAAATCTCAAACTTATATATGTTCTTGTCATTCGAAGCTGGCCATATACCCCACGTCCTATTGTTCTGCTCGGGGGAGGGGGGAGAAGAGAGGAGGGAGAGAAGGGGAGGAGCTAGTCTCTTATCTTAAATTGTAGGCTTTTCTTATGTTTTAAGTCTGCACCTATATCGTATTTGATGACTGGGTTAAGATTGCAACATCAGGATATCCTCTAGAAAGCACAATATACAGTCACTTTTTCAAGAAGATTCAAGCGCCAGCAGGAAAACATCACACCTCCCCCACCCACACAACATACATGTAGAATGGAATCCCCAACAGGGCAAAACTCTGGTCCTGTGCTATGTGACACTTCTTGCTGCCATGTTAGGACTTTCTTTTTGATAAACTGATGGAAATTTAGCCTGGACAATGGCCCTAAAGCCTACTCTTATTTCGGATTTCAGCTGTCAGGGGTTGTTCTACAAGCACACCAATTGTACACAGGATCTCTCTGGTTTTCTATTCCTTCCTAACTACTATACTAGAGGCTGTCCTTGCCACTGACAAGGCGAAACCACGCCAGAAAATGCAAAGAAACTTCACCGTGAAGACTGGGAGCAAACCCGAGACATAATGATGCAAGGTTTAAATAATATTCATCCAATTTTAATAACTTTTAACATAATTCACGTTATACATGTACATATATAATTGAAAGTGGCATGAATCTATGCAAGCCAGATTAAATTACAGCAATTCTGGAATTTTGAAATTTCAGATAAGCACCCCAACTGTTTACTTAAAGATGCATGTTATCTTTCTGCAAAGAAAGCATCCTATTTAAAGGGACAATAACACTCTTGCTGGCTTGACAGCTCCAGAAAATAAAAAATAGCCTTATTCTAAGTATAAGATGTGTTAGTGTCTTACCTGTTGTGTAAATTATCCATTAAATCATGTTTTATTTGTCCAGAGGGTTCAAAAATATTTCTAAATCCAAGTCACATTTGAAAAGGTTTACGTTAGGCTTTTCAAATCATTTAGTTGAATTTTTCCAATTAGGTGTGTTAAGATGAAATTTGTATCATCAATTAATTGGAATATTGTAAAATAGTACAATTTATTGACTAGAATAAAGATTGGGACATATTATTCAGTTACAACAAGAGTGGTATTGGTTGAGCCTTTAAGGGTTTTCTTATACCTGCACTGTACATGTACGAATGTACATATTATAGTATAATTATTAAACCAAGTTGAAACCCGGCCCTGTTGATTTTTTAAGGAATACACGTACATATTGCGAAAGTCTCAACAAGAAATATCAGTCTAAAAATCGATGAATTCAGTTGAGTATTTACAATGTACTCAGTTAAAGACAATATAGATACATGTACATGTAAATAAGTCAACACTATCTACACATGTACAGCATTAGTGCTGGTTAAAATCTTTTTCCGGACTGCCCTGTTATATCTACATGTAATCAAATCCAACCTGAAGAGAGAGAGGAATGAAAAGGGGTTTATTATATGTACATGTACACAACCCATGACATTTTGGATCTACCTGTGAGAGAGAACGAGAAATGGGGTTTAACGTTCACTCAACACAAGCACCCACCAATTTGGGCAGGTGACCCTGATCGTTGTTACAAAGTATGTTCAAGCGGGAATCAAAACCAAGCCACTGGACTCAATGACAGAAAATAGAGAACCTGTTAAAGGAGCTACATGTTAATTTGCTAATATTTGGGACCTAGAAATTGACACAAATGGGTTACAAAGCATATACATATAATAATGTAATATGAATGTATATAAACTGATTTACATTCAATCGTTTCGGTTTTTACTCTAATTTCAAATCAGTCATGTTCGGCGAAATACGATAGAAGTCTCAATCGAATGGCAATCTCTAGCGTCTGGTTATTCCACTCTATATAGTATTTAGTGCGCATGCTCTCCAGATAAGAATATGCTTTCACCGTTTGACAAGACTTGTGGAATATGCTAGCCTCGTTCTTTGAGTCATGATTCATGTACCAATGATAAAATGTTTATTTTATTTTAAATATTCAATATCAGAAGCCCATCTTTTCCCCGTAAGATCACAACACTAATGTTGATTTACATGTAAATTAACAAATGAACAAATCATTTCTGTTTTCAATGACGAAGATTTTGGATTATATTGAGTTAAAGACTTGGCTACTTTAAGTTTTCATCTTGCATGACTTCATATGTCTGCCCACAGAACTGCGATCACAAAAAGCTCGACAACAGAGCTCGCATTTAAACGGCTTCTCACCTGTGTGAGTTCTGATATGAGTGACTAAAACGCCTCGTTCTCGGAACGATTTGTCACAAAGATCGCATTGAAAGGGTCGTTCTCCGGAATGAGTTCGAATGTGAGTTCGTAACGTATGACTGAGATTAAACGATTTCCCACAAATCCCACATTCAAAGGGTTTTTCACCGGTATGAATTCTCATGTGTCTTTGTAGACCACTGCTCTGACCAAATGCTTTCCAACAAACACCGCATTCGTAGGGCGTTTCTTGAGTACCATCGTGAATTTTTTTATGCTTAGATAAAGAGCTGTTATCACCGAATAATTTACCACAAACATCACATTTATAAGGTTTTTCCTGGGTGTGACATCGGACGTGGCGCTGTAACGATTCCGGACGAGCGAATGCTTTATCGCAGGCATCACACTGAAAGGGTTTAATACCCGTATGAATAGCATTGTGCGCCCTCAGGTTACTTCTCCAATTGAACGATTTACCACAAACATCACATTTAAAGCTTCTCTTAGGCGTGTCTGTCTCCGTTCCTGGTTCAGTAATCTGATCAGACTTACATAAATCTTCCCCTTCGCTACTTTTACTTTGAAGTGAAGCGTTTTCAACAGACTCATCTTTTTTACCATGTATTCTAGAATGTTTTTCTAAATCTGTTGAAGATTCAAATGCTTGATCACACAATTTGCAGCGATGGTCCGTAATATCCCCAGTTTCTTTCTTTTCAACATCGCGACTTTTAATCGAATGAACATGAACGTTTTTATCTTTTTTGACCACTCCATGACACATTCTTTTATGCTTTGATACAGAACTGCTATCGGCATATAATTTACCACAGATATCACATCTATAAGGTTTCTCGCGCGTGTGACATCGGACGTGTCTCTGTAACGTATCAAGACGAGAGAATGCTTTACTACAAATGTCACACTCGTAAGGTTTTATACCCGTATGGATGGCACTATGGGCCCTCAAGTTGCCCCTCCAATTAAATGATTTACCACAAACATGACATTTATAACTCTTTTTAGGGCTTGTCCGATTGTTCAACGCCACTTCTGGTTCAGGAATGTATGGGTCTGACTCGGGTTCTGGACTGTTTGGGTCTGACCCTAATTCTGGGCTGTTTGGGTCTGACCCTGGTTCTGGGCTGTTTGAGACTGACTCTGGTTCAGGACTGTTTGGATCTGACTCTGGTTCAATAATTTGGTTTAAATCATTTTCAGTATCTGTACTTTTAAGTTTTACAGGAACTTTTTCTGCAATATCTTGGTGTAATATTTTGCGTCTTTTGCGTTTTTCTGTAACATCTTCTTCTGATATCTTGCACTTTTCTGTAACATCTTCTTGTGACATTTTGTGTTTTTGTATAACATCTTCTTGTGACATTATGTGTTTTTGTATAACATCTTGGTCGGATATTTTGTGTTTTTGTATAACATCTTGGTCGGACATTTTGTGTTTTTCTGCAACATCTTTGTGTAATTTTGGGTGTTTTTCTGTAACATCTTCACTTAATATTTTGCATTTTTCTGCAACAACCTGTTGTGATATTTTGCGTTTTTTTGTAACATATTTGTGTAATTCTTTGTGCTTAAGTAAATCATCATACAGTTGAAATATCTCATCACATTCTATACACCGATGGACATCTGTAACATTCTCCACAGTTTCCTGCAAAGACAAAGTTTAACTTTTTTAAATTGTTAAAGGAGAGAGAGAGAGACAGAGAGAGAGAGAGATGGGGTTTGATGTCCACTTACAAGTACATACATGGTTAAGAATCCTACATGTAGTTTTTAATTAGCAAGGGTAGAGCTAGCTGTAAGGTTCCCCAGCTGTAAAAGATGTTACGACTTAAAGCATGATTAATTGTCACTGTAACCCAGGTATCATTTAATCTTGTGTATCTAGCATTAATTTCTTTCACATTCGTTTAATATCAAATCTTTGTTTAAAAATTTGTAAAAATCATTTAAAATCACCAAAAAAACATCTAATTTGTACTTAAGTCGTGTTTTAAGCGGACTGATTAATTTTGATAATGAGTGTCCAATTTACAAGTATTTAATTTCCTGACCACTGTTCAAAAATTAATCATTATACGTCATTAATCAACTGGGTTGTTTATTTTTTAACAGTGATTGAGAAATTAAACACTTGTAAATTGGACACTCATTATCAAAATTGAACGGTCAGCTTTAAATTTATGGTGATTTTAAACAGTTTTTACGAATTTTTAAACACAGATTGGATATTAAACGAAAGTGAAAGAAATTAGTGCTAAATACACAAGATTAAATGATACCTGGGTTACAGTGGTAATACCCATCTCCATTGAATACACAAACCAGGACAATAATGCTGTAGCAGGGTTCGAATCTTATTTCCAATACCAGAAGCAATTTTTTGCTTGTAAGATTTAAAATTAGAAGCAAAAACTGAGTGTAACAAGCAAACACTTTCAGTAATTCTAGTTGTAAATCTAAAATTGATACAACATTTTTCTGCCTGGTGCCAAATGGAAGTATTGGAACAGAATTTGATCGTTTGGACCTTTGTCCATTTAACTACCACTTATTCACAAATGTGTATTTTATTGGTTTTTGAGTTTACAAAATGTGGTAATCATCGTTTAGACCAAAATACTACGTCAGTAGTATTATAGTTACGGTTGCGTAAACCGTGTGAAATGGCCTGTTCGCCTTCTTAGGCTCAACACAGTTAGGGATAACATGATTGGTCAATAACATCACATGGTTTCAGTTTTGTATATATTATTTGTCGGGAAGGTGACGTATTGTTATTTCATTGGTTAAGTTACGCTATAGAATTAAGCTATAGAAAAATTCAAGTTTTAAAATTTGCTTAAAACAAAATTACTGTAAACGCAAAACTTTGCGTTTTAGTTCAAATCTAACACACTATTTTCATATTTTAGCATGCTTTTTGCGTCTTTGCGTCCGCTAATTTCGAAGCCTGTTGTAAGACCTACATGTATATCATTCAACAGTGACAGTATTAACACTTTAGTGACATAATACGTGTACCTATATGTACATACTTAATGAGAACTTTCTGACTACTAATAATTGTAAATAACTATAAACAGTTTGTATATAAAATGATGACTATGTGTCAAATGGGAATCATGGTGGCTAAGACGCTGGCTTGCTAGCTTGGAGGTCGGGTGTTTGATCTCTGCATTGGCTGAGAAAGTTCATCCAGATTTCCCGACGTGGTTGCCCCATGTAAGTGATGCAGGAAGGAGGGCCTGGCAAAGACAGCTGTCTAGTGGTTTGGATGGGACGAAAAACCGAGGTCACATGTTCACATAGACATGCCGTAAAAGATCCCTGGACAGTTGGAATTCGATTCAAGAGTAGGCCCGTATGGTGTATGCCCGTCTTAATTATCCCAGTTTGGAGCAGAACAGTAGGACGTTAAACCCTATTCCATTTCATTTCAATTTTTTTCATTTTTTGTGTCAAATAATTTCATCAATAAAAATTTTGTGTTCATACATGTGTATGATTGTATAACAATTAGGGTTGGGCAATAATGAAAAAATATATTGTGATAATAATTTATCATAATAATTTATCAAATATCACGATCAAGGATATTATCGTGAAAATTTATACAGGTGTCTTAAGAAGTCAAATTTTGAATACATGTACCTGAGTTGAAAATTGTCGCTTGATGTCAAATGATTGTTGCTAACATCAGTAGACACCATGATGGGGATTTACCCTAGAACAGCAGGGCCCGGTTTCTCGAAATCTTAACTAAAGATAAAATCCAAATTTTAATAGATACATGTACTTCAATTTTGATTGGCTAAGCACTAAAATCAATCTAATATTATCCAATCAAATTATTAAAATTTGGATTTTATCTTAGTTAAAATTCATAAAACAGGCCCCTGGTACTTAAAGCTGAACTCCGGTTACAAAAATACCGAAATAATTAAATAAAAAAAAGTTAACAATAGTGTGTGTTGGTATACTGTTGGGAAAATATAGAGCATTCGGTGAAGTGTGTGTAGAGAATAAAACCGGATGTGTACAGCTGGCTGACAAGAAACAAACTGGAAGTGAGATCAGCTAACCTTTCCAGGTCATAAGCCTCAATGTCCGCCATATTTATTTCATAAATTGGAAACAAGTATGGCGGCTTGGGGGTGTTAACTTTTTTTTTTATTTAATTAGTTCGGTATTTTTGTAACCGGAGTTCAGCTTTAATAATGCGGTTTTTAGTGTTGAATTCAATTCTATTAATAGATTGTCATCCAAGTTAGTCAAAGTAAAATATTATGTAAACATACATGTAACTGGCAGGGTTCTCAAATCTACTTTTTGATATTTACAAGACAGGGACAGTTCATCTGGGGTAAATACTGTCCAACCTTGACCTTGCCAAACAACTAAGTGTTCAACGATTACGAGTCCTGGCATCAATCATGACATCTCGCATTGCCATTTTGACTTTGTAGGCTTACTGTGCACTACAGCATCACTTGTTTATAGAAGATGATAGCACGTGTATTATAATCAATTTGGGTTACGATAATTATCACATAGCGATAATTTTGGTTATCACGATAAAGTGACGATATACCGAAAAAACAATATATCCTAATATCGATCCCCAAACCTACTAATACTGACAATTCAAAATCTTTCATACACAGGACTTATTCCCTGGATTATATACTCACCATTGTTTGTGGTTACATGTAGTACTGTAGCTTGTACAAGTAGTAAAATGTAATACTTCCTGTCTCTGTCTACAACAATGTAAATGTTACAACAATGTGACTTCGTCAACTCAATGATTGAATGAGATCATCAATCATACGGAACTAGGCATGGTCAATGGATATCAACGAATTAATTAGAATTCATAGTCTGTCCTACACTGAACAACGGGATTAGTTCGCCATTGGTATATTATCTAAAATAGTAGTAGAAAGATTCTGTAATCTCTACGAAGAATTTTTTTGAGTAATAGTGGTCGAATAATTCATTGACTTCTTGAAAGCGTTTCCGCTAATTCTAAATCAGGGTCACAGCTCTAGGTGGCGCTGTTGGTGAGTTTGGCGTCGCTTGATTGGTTATAGTTGTAATTGTATATTATTTTTCAAAATGGACCTACATAACGCGAGTAATTCGTAAATCGAAAAATAAACCTCTTTTGCAGATCTTATCAAGGGTGGCGGATTTCACCAAATATTGCTAGTAATACATTTTTTGTAAGACTTGTGTGTTTTAGAGTACATACTCTTTCTGTCCTTAGCGAGACTCGGATGCAGTGAATTTAAAACTGGAAGAACTAGGATATACACGAGTTATACACGACCAGGCAAACATGTATTGCCACAAGAAGACTGGGGTCTTTGGGATGAGTTGTCATACATTCGTGTCATACATATGACATATTTAGCTAAAGGAATCGTGGTAAATATCCCCCCCCCCCCCTCCCGCCAAAAAAAAAAAAAAAAATTAGAAACAGAATAAATAAGTGATTGTGATGTAATATGTTGAAATAATGGTGGATTTGGATACATTTATACGACTTCCAAACGAACAATTCATACGATTTTAAATCAAAGATGACAATTTAGCATAGGGAGCAGTATATTATCGATATACATTATTGTGATATGGTTTGAAATATTGGTGGATTGGGTAGATTTGTTTGGATTTGGGGAGTTTTGGGTAAATAAATTGCGTGTGTGCTATATTAAGACTTGGGTTATGGGCTATTCAGGTCGATTAGATCCACGTCTGATATTACGAACAACCTTAACGCACATCCCACCGGAAATGAAAGTGTTGCCATTTTTCATTACCTTCCCATGTTTTGGTTATATAAAAAATAACATTTATTCTTCTGAATATTGATATTTTTACCAATATCCGCCCACATACAAATAATTTGGGTCCTTTTCTCTTTGGCAAGTTATTGTGTATCTCACACAAGAGAAAGGGCTTAGAATCGGGAGGTATTATTGACTCCCGACGGCGAGGATTAATAAAAACGAGTCTTTTTTTTTAAGACTAAAGTAAAAGTACTGAATGAAAGCTTTCAGTAAATAAAAGGATAATAATGGTGAGATCATTTATAAAATTAGAGAAAAGAAACGTTTTTCTGTTATTTGCACTTTCAAACCACAACCACTTCCTGTGATTGTAGACTGGACACTTGATTAAAGCAGTCCATAGATTTACTCAAAACATCACACTACACTTTAAAGGGACAATAACACTCTTGCTGGCTTGACAGCTCCAGAAAATAAAAAAATAGCCTTATTCTAAGTACTAGATGTGTTAGTGTCTTACCTGTTGTGTAAATTATCCATTAAATCCTATTTTACTTGTCCAGAGGGTTCAAAAATATTTTTAAATCCAAGTCACATTTGAAAAGCTTTACATCAGGCTTTTCAAATCATTTAGTTGAATTTTTCCAATTTTTTAAATTAGGTGTGTTAAGATGCAATTTGTATCATTAATTAATTGGAATATTGTAAAATAGTACAATTTGTTGACCAGAATAAAGATTGGGACACATTATTCAGTTACAACAAGAGTTGTATTGAGCCTTTACTTTAATGGCTTTTCAGCTGATTGGATAAATAATCATATATTTAACAAACCATTTACTTTTCAAATTGTCTCAAGATTTCTTGGAAATCCCTATTTTGTTTATTTGCTGTTGTGTGTGAAATAGCTTTATTTAACGTCAGCTTCCACCAAAGTAATTATTTAGATTTTTATACTATGGCTTCCTACACACTGAGCTTCCTTGCCAACACCCCAGTTTATAATAATAACAACAATTTTCATTGAGTGGAGTATATGCTAAACCCCATTTCTCCCTCTCCGGGCTTTACTCTGCCTGCTGGGTATGGGTGATCACGGTGGCTAAGTGGGTAAGACGCTGGCTCGCTACCCTGCATTGGCAGAGAAAGTTCATCCAGATGTTCTGGCGTGGTTCCACCTTGTCAGTGATGCAGGATGGAAGGTCTGACAAGGACAGTTGTCTAGTTGTTCGGCTGGGCCGAAAAATCGAGGTCCTGTGTATACATTGGTGTGCATGTAAAAGATCCCTTGACAGTTGGAATTGGATATAAGAGTAGGCCGTAGTGCCACTGTCCGGGCAAAATTTTCCTCATAGCACAGTGTATTGAGTATGCTCGTCTTCATTAGTCCAATTCGGAGCAGAACAGTAGGACGTTAAATCCCATTTCATTTCATTTATGGAAGAAAAGTCTGTTCATTCAATGATCTTTGAGTTAGAATGTGGAGAGGTCTGTAAATCTGGAAGTTTATTATATTCCTATGGTTGATCAGATAACTGCCAAGAAGTGATTGAGCCAACTGGCGTGGTTTCGATTCCCCGGTTGTACGTGACAAGGAGTAGGGTCGCCTGTCCAACCTCGTGGGTTTTCTCTGGGTCCTCCGGTTTCCTCCCACTGCTAAAGACCCCTACTCGCAAGCAAATTATGGAAATAAAATTGAACCATGTGTTAGTCCCGAAATGACCTAGTTTGTGTCGAGTGGACGTTAAACCCCATCTCTCTTTCCCTCGTGTTCAAAACACAGATAACCGCCAAGAAGTGGTATTATGATTTTGATATATTCCAGGAAACCAATGAAACTTTTATATATTACAGGAAACTATAACTTTTTTATATTACAGGAAGTTATAAAACTTTTGTATATTACAGGAAACTGATGATGTAAACAGGTTGTATCAATGTATGGTATGTGATGAGATTTTCAAGAAATTTGAAGACCTTGAACACCATAGCAAAATACACGTTAAAGAAGAGAAAGCTGAAGATGATTATTGTCGAATAGGTTTTGAAGAACAGGACAAATGTGATGTGGTCGTTGGTCAAAAAGTTAAAAATAATGAAGCAGAGGACCATGTTCTTGAAAAAGAGACCAAAATTCGATCGAAATCGGAAAAAAGTTTTGAATGTGATATCTGTAGTAGATCATTTAATAAAAATAGTAATCTTAAGGCTCACATGGTTCTTCATTCTGGGAAGAAAGCTTTTAAATGTGATGTTTGTGGTAAATCATTTGGTCGTCTTGACTACCTACAACAACACATGTGGACTCATTCTGAAGACAAACCTTTTAAGTGCGCGTTATGTGGGAAGTCATTCAGTGGAAAGTTTCATTTGTTGAAACATATCAGAACCCATACGGGTGAAAAACCTTATGAATGTGATGTTTGTGGTAAATCATTCATTGATAACAGTACGCTAAATAAACATATGAAAAGTCACACAGGGGAGAAGCCCTACGAATGCGGACTTTGTACCAGATCGTTCAACGACAAAAGTAATTTAGTCCGACACATGAAAATTCACTCCGGCGAAAAACCCTTTGCGTGTGATTACTGCGACAAGGCGTTCATTGATCGAGGTAATCTCAACAAACACACGAGAACTCACACACGCACTGGAGCGAAACCTCACAAATGCGAGATCTGCGGAAAGGCATTTAGTCAACTCGGTGGTTTGCGATCGCACAGTGGAGTTCACGCGGAAGAGAAACCCTTTAGATGCGATGTTTGTGGTAAATCGTACGCTCAGAGCGCCAGTCTGTTGACCCATGTGAGAAGTCATACGGGTGAAAACCCTTATAAATGTGATGTTTGTAATAGAGCATTCAGTGTGAACAGTACGTTAAAAACACACATGAGAACGCACACTGTAGAAAACCCTTATAAATGTGATGTTTGTAGTAAATCGTTTCCGCGGAACGGTAACCTGCAGACACACATGAAAATCCATGCTGGTGTTTAGATGTTATGTGACCTAACTGACTAATCAAATGTTCGGTAGTGATTTTTAAAGTGCGTGTTATTATTACAGTTGAAACCAAAACTCGCGACCTCCATGTGAACAAGCATAACAGATACATTTACAGATATCTTATAAATCAGATGTCATGTGATCTAGCCTACCAATCAAATTATCTGATATAAATTTTGTTTTATTTTATATCTGTTGTTGTACTTAATTGAGGTATTTCTTTGTCTTAGACTTCGACATTAAAACCACCAATCTGATTAAAACACGGATCTTATTTCATTTTGTTTTTTATAATTCAAAATTTAATTTCATTTGTCTTTACTACACTTGTTGAAGTGAGGGATTAGCCATGAAACTGAAACAGTTCTTGGCATGTGTTGCACGAAACTGTGGGTATCCTACTAGAAAGAAACATCAACGCTGATTGGTTAATCAAACCTCTGACATCATAGGGTCAAATGCCACTAGCATAACCCCTGATGTGACCTCCCATTACAACTGGTCAGATCTTCGTGTAGTGGAGGCCACCAAAAGTTGTAACAAACAAAATGAAATAAAGATCTGGGGCCGTATTTATAAAAATTCTTAGAGTTTTCATAACTTTTACTCTAAGACTTCCTAAAGCAACATTTAGTTAAAAGTTACTCTTTAGAAATATTTATAAAGGGTCTTAGAGTTACTTTTAACTAAATGTAGGACTTGGGTTCTAACCAAACTCTTAGCGATGTAACCATGGGAAATCCGGGGATTGATGTCATGCAATCACTCTACTCACTGTAGGTTGACTGACGCCGAAATCGTCACCACTAAACAGTTGCATTTTACCAGTAGCTAGGAAACGAAGCGTAATGGCGATCTTCATCTCAGCGTCGATTGAGAAATTTCGTTTAGTAGGACTCGTAAGTAGATGCCGAACTAAATCTGTCACAAAAAGAATCCCACCCATGTCCATTCGATATCTCCTTATCAACTCGTCATTGTTGTACTCCACTAAGAAATCTCTTCTTGTTTTAAACTCTCTTAGGCGGCGTACACGGACGGCCATGTTAACCAAGATAAGAGTACTTTTAACAAGTTAGGAGTGCTACAGGAGGACTCCTAAATATGTGTCATAGTTAGGAGTAATTCTTAAAGTAAAATGTTTTATAAATAGGTCTTATGAAAATCTACAAAGTTAGGAGTAATTTTTGACAGTTAAGAGTTGGTTCCAACTCTTAGAATTTTTATAAATACCGCCCCTGTATTTTAATCAAATTGTCAAATCACATGATCTAACTGACCAATCAAATTATCTGTGTAAAGCAACAAAAGTAGATATTTGCATTCTACACAGAATAAATCCCTGCCCTGAATGGCCGCCATATCCCTGCCCTGAATGGCCGCCATATCCAAAAATTAGTATACTGTTTTATATACACAAAAGACTGAATAAATCTTTTTAATTTTATTAAATGGAAGCGTAATAAATACTTTTCAAAATTCTCAAACTATACATGTACATGTACAAACTACAAAGTGTTTTTGACTAAAATCGTAGATTTAGGAATTAAAATGTCCGTCACGTAGCTTAGTGTCTGTTCTCAAGAGGAGTTAATCGACAGTTTAAGTTTAGTATGAGAGGGTCTTTTTGACCTGCGCTGGTGTTTGAAACTGGACTATTTTAGTCAAGAATGCTGATGTGTTCATGATTATAGTTTTTAATCTATCCGAACAACTAGGGACATTTTACTTGCCAGCCTTGCAGGTACTCATACCACCCCTGGCAAGTTCAGATCCACTTAAAACATCCTGAATAAAATTTCAGGTCTTTTACTTGGCGAGGGGTGGTTTAGTGGTTTAACGCGTGCACATGAAATCAAAAGGTCTGTCATTGGTTTCAACTCACTGCTTGTATGTGACAAGCAGTAAGTTAGCCTTTCCAACCCCATGGGTTTTCTCTGGATCCTTCGGTTTCCTCTCCATATAATTTAACAGTTGGTGGAGGGGATGGGTGATGGATGGTCTAGTAGTTAACGCGTGTGCATGAAATCATAAGGTTTGTCATTGATTCACCGCTTGTATGTGTCTGATTTCCTCTGACTGCTCAAGACTCCTTCGCGCAAGTGAATTAGTTTCTGTTGAATGGACGTTAAACCCATTTCTCTCTCTTTATCGATTTTCACGGGTATATTATTTTCACATGCATGCCAACATGTAGGAAAGACTGTTTTTTTTTTATCATAATCCCAAAGACTCAACACTGTTCCTTTCGTCTCCCCGCGTATTGATAAAGAGTCAACGCCCTCACCACCCCCCTGCCATAGAAAGCTAGTAAAAATTCTATGTTTTGTATCTTTTTTGCTGGTTTCAACATTAAATAGGCTACTAATTGAAATGTGTAAATATTTTGGGACAGCAGGAATAAATCTGATTAAAATACAGATCTATATTTCTTTTCGTTTTTTAATTGTCGTCGACCCCGTCCATCCGGTGTCCACAATTGTTTGTAGATGCTCTAGAGGCTAAAGTTACATGTAATATCCGATTGACTTTAAATTTATACACAGTGCTTAAGGTCATGAGACGAAGAAGCCTATTGATTTTAACCGATTTCCAATAATTACTGCCAGAGTTATGGCCCTTGATCACTTTGAAAAATCTTATAGAAGCTCTAGAGGCTAAAGTTAATATCCGATTGATTTCAAATTTATACAGAGTGTTTAAGGTCATGAGACGAAGAAGCCTATTGATTTTAACCGATTTACGATAATTACTGCCAGAGTTATGGGCCTTGATCACTTTGAAAAATCTTGTAGACGCTCTCGGGGCTAAAGTTAATATCCGATTGACTTTAAATTTATACAGTGATACACATTGTTTAAGTTCATGAGACGAAGAAGGCTATTGATTTTCTCTATCTCGCATGACCATATTGACATGTACGTAAAACATCCCTTGACCACTGAATTTCAGAATAAGAGTAGGCTGTCCTCATTATCCATTCTGTACTTTAGAGGGAAGGTCACTCATCAGGTCATTAAAAGCAGATTGATAATTATGAATAAATTAGATTTTTAGTCTAGACTTGGTTTTTTTTGAGTACAAAATTCTAAAATGCGGATGAGGCTCTCAACAGCCTTGTGCCTTTATATGTTTTGAGAAAATGAGATATTGGAATTCTTTTAGAAATAATAGGTTAATAACTTTCTTGATGATTCTGAATTTTGTTTGTATGTTCAGTTTATGTTTACGGTACGCAGGTCGTTATTTGTTTCACAGAGGGCAGTGCATAGTGTTGGATTTCAGGTACAGTGCAAATGTTTTTTTTTTTGTTGTTTTTTTTTTTTTTAAATTATTTATTTTTGTCTCTAACTTCTTGTAAATGCAAGGGGCGGGGGTGGTAGGCATACAATTTTGTGTAGCCTTTAATAAGATAAGATTTTATTGTATTATTGTAACAAAAGTTGATAATGAAATTATAAGATAACATCTGAGGTGATCATTTATGGGTGTACAATGTTATATAATAAGTCTATAAGCATCAATGGGAATCATTATAGAGCTAAAACGAGGTGTGAAGCAAGTTTTTTTTTATCTTTTGTATGACCAAAATCTAATGACTCCTATTGAATTAGTTAGATGAAATCTACTTAAAGATACATTATGGGAGATAAGATAAAGAGATGGCAGTTCTCGCTATAATAGTTAAAAACTAGATAGTGTAAAGGTAATTTGCTGAAAATTTCAGTCAAATTGATCCACTTTGAGCCGAGAAAGAAGCGGCTGAAATTTTTGCATAGTCTCGGTCATCATTACTAAAATCATTAATATAAACAGCATAGTCTCGATTATCCATTTTTATTGATTAATTATCAATAGCCGTTAGCGGCATACAGGAATCTAATCCAGCCAACATCGAAGGCTAGCCTTCACATCGAGAGTTTATTATGGCCCGGATAAGTTAATTAATGTCTAATTGATAATTTAGATAACATTTCAGGCCTAAAGAAAGACTTGTAATAAGCAGATTTTGCTCTTGCATAATGCATGTTTAATATGATTAATACAATGACATCATTATTAATGTGACGTCATAATGCATGTTTAAGTTCCATGTAATGTCATGTCAAGAATGTAATTCTAAAATATAGCAACAATTTAAAATATTGACTGATAAATTCAAAGTCTAGTAACTAAGAGAAAATCTTCCCGACAGTTCTTATAGTTGGTCACCAGGGCCCGGTTTCATAAAACATTCTCAAAATTTAATCAAAATTGTTTGCCGTATTCTAACTAAAATATGGCCCTTTTATTTATAAATTTTTTGTTATCAATATATCAAATGCATCAATAAAAAAACTATGTGCAAAGTTTGGTGTTCCTGAATCAAAGATATTTCTTATAAACATTGATTGAAAGTGACGTAAATTCTTAACTTAAGTCTGAGAAAGCATTGGCTGCGATTTCACCTCCGTGGAAGGGGACGTTAAATAAAGCTATGTCACACGTGAGTATGCTTTGTGAAACCGATGTCTGATCTCTGAAAAGTAATATGTTTTGGCGACAATCAAAGATCAAAGATGTACTTGTTGGCCTTTTGTGTAAGACAACCACTCTCATTAACCTATCCCCCACTCGGCAAAATTGACCTATCCCCCAGCAGGAGAAGGCCACATATATCCTTGACAATAAAGTGGCTATGCCATTTTATTTCTCGGGCACACCCGTGCACATATTACGAGGTTGTTTAGACTTCTCGAAAATTGCAGTTTTTATAGAAAGTTCAAATAATTATTTTATGCCACCAATTTCATTCTAAACAAAAGTTACATTTTGAATAGCAACCACAAACTTAAAATCTCATAATTTATCGAATGGCATGCTTCGATTGTGGCAGAAAATGGCGTCACTTTCATGACGTATAAGAGTGGGGTGACGACATAATCTGGTTGTTTGATAGGTTAATCATGGTCTATTGTATTTAAGCTGATCAAACCATTGTTTCGTACTTTTTCTGTTTAATACAGTATTAATTACGTTAGTATAGTATAATTTAACAGCATTAAGAATAGTATACAAGATCAAGTCAAACTGGTTTATATTAACCTTCTACAGTCCAGTGGCTCAAGGGGGAGGGGCTCGGTTCTCCCACGCGGAGCATAT